GCCTAGTAGATGGAGATAACCCTCCCAGATTTTTGGATTTTTAACTGAAGAGGAAATAAGGCTTAGCAATGTTTCTAGTTGTTAGTGGGATATATCAAGCTTATTGAAACAATATATAAACTGATAACTGAAATCCTATAACAACAGTGCTTAGATGCATATAGGAATTACCTCTGGGTAGTTCCCAGTTTGTAGCCAACCTCCAGCATCTGTTTAGAAAGGTTTTTGGAAGAAACTAGTACCAAAGAAATAAGCAATGTACAGAAGAATATAAAGATAAAAATAACTTCAAGCTGTCCTAACATGAGCAAAATAGAATCCCAACTTCAGACTGAGTGGATCTCCAAAATATTCAGATAAACAACATTAAAGAACATATCAGAAACCTTCCTAACTGTTTCTTAGGCATTGGGAGAGCAAAGAGTTCAGAGTTCAAGAAAGTTTTAATGGGAATTTGGCATTGGGATAGCAAGTATAAATATCAGCAGATCAGAACACCTTTTGCAATGAGTGCCTGTAGATGATCCACTCCATTAAAGCAAAGCAAAGTTAGCATCCAAGCTTTGCCCATTTGGATTCTGGGAAAGCATGTGTTATGCATATTTTACCTGATTCTCTATAATGACTCAGTCAATTTCACAGAAAGAGGTTTTCTTGAAAAAGCTCATTGATTGTACTTTGGTGTCTTAGGCTCTCCATCAGAGGTGTTATTTTTGTTCAGTACTCTGTGGTTTAGGCATTAAATTATACTTTCTGGCACTGCAAGCTCTATGAACTCTGTTCTTAAACCAATATGCTACATATTCTTTTAGTCAACCAAAGCACCAGAGAGATAATGTGGTGATAACGGAACAAAGGAAAGGCTAATTATCTTGGAGAACAAAGGAATCAACAGCGAATGTCCAGCCACTTGAGCCTACTGGCAATGCCCTGAGGGCTCTTTTTATTGACTTAGCATGATTTTACATAGTATGTTATAAGAGAAACAGATAGGATACTAGTTACCTAACTAGGATGGGCTAAAATAACACACATGTATGCTGATTAATGTTTATAAATCAAATAAAAAGCCTCTGCCTCTGTTAAAACCAAGGGGGATAGAGTTGAGCTTCTTTAAGATCTGTATGTCAGCTCCAAAGTCTGTCTATGACCTTTAAGAACCACTGACTAACCACGATCATGCTGGGCCTTTTAGATATCCATTACATTTCATACACTACGTCCCCATTACTGTATGAATGGCTGTTCTCTGTGATGAAGTAGGCTATGGTTCAAAAAAAACCTTGTTAATCTTTAATCTGTCTGGAGGAGACATTTCTTTTGGAAGTCTGGGTTCTAGAGATCCACAGAACGGAGCCATGTCTCATTCCTGGCACCTTGGTAAAATTAAGTTTTAGCCCTGCCTGCCAATTGCTTTTTAAGGGAAAAGGTTCAGAAAATGGAATTCTTGAGAAATTGGAGATCAAACATGGACAATCTCTCTCTCTTTGCTTTGCTTTAATGGTTTATTTACAGCAGAATCTCTACTTACGAACTTAATCCGTTTTGGAACGGTGTTCATAAGTAGAAATCTTCATTAGTAGAAGCACCATTTCCCATAGGAATGCATTAAAAACCAATTAATTGGGTATGAAATATTGCCTATATAGTTTTTCATTGGTTCCTCTCTTTGATGACTTTTCCAGGCCATGACTGAGGAAATGATGTAAATAGGACTTTAAAGTCCTCTCTAACTTTTCCCATCAATAGTGCCACTCCTGCATATTAGGGTCTTCTTGCTAAAGCTCTTTTTCACAAGACTCAGCTAGTATTATGTGATCTTTGGCACAGGTAGTTGTAACAGACTGTGTTCCTTTGGGCCTCATGGAGTGAATTCTGTCATTTGTACCTCAGCTTCCTTTAAACTTGCTCAAAGAGCTGTGGTTATTTAAGAATTCACTGGACAATGTTAGTTTGATGATTATTTTGTGTTCTCTCTTAGGAAAAGTAGGGTTAGCATCAGGATCAAACTGCACCATGTGAAACAAGAATCTTAACTAGAGATGGCAGTATGTACCAGGAGGTAAACAGTATGTGTGTGTGTGGAGGGGGGGGAATAATCTGAACAGTAATTCATCCTCCCAATCCAGGAAGAAGCAAAAGTCCAGTGCATAAAGAGTAGCATAACTGGGCGAAAGAGGAGCTGAAGCCACAGAGAGCCAGAGTTTGCAGAAGAAAAGAAGTAGCAAGTTCTGCAGAGGCTAAACCTTCAGATTAGAACTGAAGAGTCATGTGGAAGAGTTTATATTGGCCAGTGACCAAAGCCAGAGAGCAGTGAAAGGGTGGCCAGAAGGAGTGGAATTGACCTCAATTTTGACCCTTAATTTAAAAAAGGATGCACCATTGGAAAGAAAGATGGCTACCAAATCCAAGACTGGAAGTTCTTGGACTGGGAAGGTCAAACTAAATGACATGAGAGGTGTGCAAATTTTTGCTTTTGGATTACAATTCCCGGAATTGTTGCCTGGGAAATTCTGGGAATTCTGGTCCAAAAACACAAAACTGCATACATCTAAATCAGTAGCTCCCAACCTATGGTAACCCAAGTGTTCTTGGATTGCAGTTCCCAGCTGTGCTGGCTGAGGTTTCTGGGAGTTGCAATCCAAGAACACTTGGGTTACCCAAGGTTGAGAACCACTGTTCTAGATCAGCCATTCTTATCAAGGGCCTTATGGTTCCTTGGGTGGCCTTTGCACATTTGAAAGAGGCCACAGACTGTAAACAATTCTTCATACATCACCTCATAGGGTTCGTTATGTGACTTATGGAATCCTGATTCAGCCAGTATTTCTTTTATATTGTCTTTATGGCTGTGGCCAAAAAAGTTGAGAGCCTGCTCTAGATTAGATATGTTCCCATGGTTCTGTTAAGAAATGCTGTCCAAGTGGTGAATGATGTCTATTTGTTGTAGCACATGACTTTCTTCACCTAGGTGCTTTGCATTCAGCATGCTTTATTTTGTGATAGGTCACTGGAAGATAAACCAGGCTCAGTTTACAAGTCTGATTGCTGAAACATGAAATATCATTGGGAGAGGAGAGAAGAATTAGGAAATATGCATCTCTCCTTATCCACTTTGACCCTGTCAAACTAACAGGAGCTGTAATCAATGAACTGCAGTGTTGAGGAGAGAGGGATCTGACTTTTTTCTTTTGCAGTGCATTTGACTTGGAGCAATCTGTTCATGATGATATTATATTTGTTCTCTGGGCTGATTTATTATTTATTGTGCATACAGAAGTTATTTTCTATGGGGTATGACAATAAATCTGTGGAGTGGGTGACCAGTGGGAACAAGTGCTGCGCAGCCCACCAGTCTATGTTTGTAAACTGCTTTGGGATCAACTGTACAACTTTCATTGTATGAGGAAATTATCTGTGTTGTTACTACCTTGATAGAAATTGATTGGGTTGTTATGTTCAGTGGAACACACCAGACAAAAAAAGTGTTTGTGAAGATGTGAGAGAATGAGTGGTTTTGAAAGCCATTACGTCAAACACAGTTACTATCTTTGACATTATTTAAAGCCAGGACAGCAAAAGGAAAATTTCCCCAGAGAGCTCACTATCTTTTAATGTTCCACTATTGTATTCTCATTGCTTTTGCTATCGACTTGTTTTCTGTCTGTTAAAAAAAGACCCTTTTGTGCGGATCTAATTCTCTTCCTTCCTAGAAGTGTTTTTGCACATGTCGCTAAGCCTGTCCAGCTTTGAGTCACACGGTTTCTCAGCTTTACCATATTGTTTGTCTCTGCAGTTATTCCTCTTTTTCTGCACCTGTTAGTCTTTGCAACACTGTCCTGTTTTGCTTGGATCATCTTTTTGTTTCAATTGAAACATGCATGTGCACAGAAACACATGTGCACATATGCATCAGCTTAATGACAGCAACACTACAATTGGCAAGAATGACATTAACCCAAATGTTCTGCAAATATCAGTAGATGTGGAGGAAATATATGTGCAGGGCTATATAGTGCTACCTGCTGGATCTCAACAGCTATCTAGTAACAATGAGGATAGCAAGTGGTATACCTTCAAATTCTAGTACCATGACCCCAAAATGTATCAGGGTGTGTTTCTCCAGCTTCCCTTGATATAAAGGTATTTCCATGCATCACATGACATCACTGGAAGCTCAACCACATGGCTTGAGATAACACTGACATAAATTAAAACCAGAAATAAAAATAACAGCAAATATATGCAACAGTAAATCAAGCCATTAAAAAAAAGAAAAGAAATGGAAATAAAAGTATCCACTGAATGCCTTGCAGAACAAAGATGCCTTCACAAGGAATAAAAAAAGGAATCAGTAAAACTGAATTCCTGTTGCTTGGTGTCATAGGTCACACTAGAGTAGGCCCATTGAATCAAGCAGCTTGGTGAGTCAACTCCTCTGCAAGTTCCATATGTTCAAATGGTCTTACTTTAGTTGAAACTTACTATGCTAAACTAAGTCACAACTGGAGAAGGCCTATTTGAATCATTGGAATTTGTAGATCGAGCAAAACCAAAAGAAAAAAAGAAAAGAAAAAAATGTTGTGGCACTTAAAGATTAACTACTATATTTTAATGTGAGCTTTTGTGGACAAGTCCGTTTCCTCAAACAGAAGAGTGGGACTGGATCCTCTTTTTGCCTTAAAAATGTCCCCAAGAGTAGTTTACAATTACAACCATACTAAAGTTTAAATTCATGTTATATAATTTCCCATGTACCCTTGCTGTGATTATTGTAGAATCTTGTTCATATTTTAGAAGGCTTTAGTTCACTGTTGGACGTGCTGTCATTGAGCTGGATCTTATTTTCCTGCTGCAGTGGGTGACGCCATGCATGCTTGTCCCCTCTGACAAGTACCATGTCTGTTGTGTCTTCCACTGATGGAGGGGGTAAGGGTGGGATGAGAGATGTCGTGATGCGTTAACTCTTCTCCTGGTTGGCGATTGTCATTTCTTTACAGGCAACCCACCTGGGCATGCTAAAAAAGCCTTGAAGCAGCGGTTCCTCAAGCTGCTGCCCTGCTGCCGCCAGCCCAAATCCATCCCTTCAATCAGCGAAAGCAAGTGACACTTTGTGCCTTTTTGCGTGTCTTTGTGCTGGGACATCATAATACGCAGGAGCAGGAGAATGGGAGACAGGTTTTCCTCTGTAAAACTTAAGTCAAACTTGATGTGTCATTTCTCTAAAAGGAAAACCTCATCTGAAAAGTATAAACACATTGGAACTGTATTGACTCAGAGGAGGAGCCCAAATGCAGTCTCTCTATCTAAACCCATTCATTTTTACACAGTGGCTTTGGGGATGAACTTGAGTCCAGGGCATGGATCTTATGGAGCCTTTTACTCCAACTGGCACTGCTCAGAACCAATAAAGAGAAAGGTTCATAAGTTGGAAACTTCCTTCTAAGCCACTACCCAATCAATGCCTCAGATGTGGATGCTCTAGCTCCTTAATGTTTTTCATATCCTGTTTCCCCAAAAATAAGACCTAACCTGAAAATAAGCCCTAGTATGATTTTTCTGGATGCTCGTAATATAAGCCCTACCCCAAAAATAAGCCCTAGTTAAGTGAAACCCCGTCCTCTACAATTGTGCAACAACCAGAAGATGATGACATGACTATATTTGAATAAATGTAGAAATATGTAAAAATAAATATAAAAATAACACATCCCCTGAAAATAAGCCCTAATGCATTTTTGGAGCAAAAATTAATGTAAGATCCTGTCTTATTTTCGGGGAAACACAGTACTTAAGTAAATATTTGCAGAGAGACCTGGTATGTCATAGGTTTGATACAAGCTAAAGATTTTCTGAAGGCCCACAGCTATCCATAGTGCTCATCCCATGATTGAGATTAGTGGTTGGTTTGACATTGTCAAAGGACCAAGTCCTCCTACATGTGTCCCTCTGGGATGGGACATGCTTCATATCACATGTTCTCTCACATCAGGGTTGGCGTTGGGTCTGTTGACCAACTCCTAATGGAAACGTTTTGGGTGCATGGCAGTTTTATGGAATCACAGAATGTTACCTGAGGTGCAGAACTTTTCACTTTCATCTCACTCACTTCCACTTACCTACTGTGGGTACTAGAGAACGTCTGTGGTGGTGCTTAGTGTCACATTCTGCCCAGTTTACAAGAGGGCAGTTGTGAATGTCTCACTAACCTACCTCACAGCCACACACACAATATGATAGGTAGCAAGAATCATGTTTGCTCCTTTCACAGCAAAGATGGTTTTAAGGTTGTAGCTGGGGAAGTTGCTACTTAATACATCCAGGTATTAGAGATGAGGGTTTCCATGCCCTATAAACCCTCCTCCCATCCCACAACTAGGAGAAATAAAATGGACTATGCAGAACAGTAAACACTATCAAATAGACAGTGCTGAATAAAAGAAACTATGCATGGAAGCCATTTGTTTATATGAACTACCAAATCTGTAATACAGAATTTTGAATTTTGTCCTCATACAAATATATATAAACATTTGTTTCTACGTATTTTTCCTACCGCTTCTAAACATGGAAAGGAAGTGTGTGTGTGGAGGGGTCAAACTCACCACTAGTGACTAGATTTGAGGATGTTTGCCTCATGACAACAGATTTTATTGCTTATACTACTATTCTCACTGAAATGCTCTGGATTTAGCCTCTATGCAAACATTTGTAATAAAGAATATATACTGTAGACAGAAAGGCAAACATATGCAGGGCTCACCACAATCTTTTGGGGTGGGTGCCTTCCTCTTGGACCATGGGAAAGATGCGGGGGTTCATCCTGGTTTGTCTGTTGACATTGACTGAAGATGATACAGAGTAATTCAGGTTGATCTGTCTAGATGGGGGGTTGGGGGCCCACGCAAAAAATACTGAGAAAAGCTATCTATAGGCTTACTCTCCATGATTTTGTCTAATCTTTTAAAGTCATCTTTGCCAATGGCTACCAATTGTCATACCTTTTAGCAGAATAGGCTTACTCTCCATGATTTTGTCTAATTTTCTTTTAAAGTAGTCTTTGCCAATGGCTGCCAATTGTCATACCTTTTAGCAGTGAATCTGTAGCCTTAGTGAATAATGCATAACTTAGTGAAGCATTCTGGGGAAAAAGTTTGCATGCCACAGAGTCAGACTGCTTGTATTTGTATATTGTTGAATGTCTCTCCACTTAAAACTACTTCTCCAGTACCTCTGCACTAAATCCAATTATAGTCCTATTCATTTCAACACTAAGGCCAGAGGCACCTTGATTTTGATGGTACTACTCTTGGAGCCTCATGGTGCAGTGGTTAAACTGCAGTATTGCAACCAAAACTCTGCTCACTACCTGAGGTTCACTCAGCCTTCCATCTTTCCAGGGTGGATAAAATGAGTGTCCAGATTGCTGGGGGGGGGGAGCAATGTCTGCAGACATCTTTCCAGGGTGGATAAAATGAGTGTCCAGATTGCTAGGGGGGAGGAGCAATGTGTAGTCTGCATAGTTTGTAAACCATCCAGAGAATGCTTTAAGCACTATGAGGTGGTATATAAGCAGTACACTTTACTTGGTGCTGAACTTGGATTCTCCCCTTTGTCACTTATTCTTTTATAACATTAAAAATCTGATTTCCTTGATTGCTGTGGGTGGATAAAATGAGTGTCCAGATTGCTAGGGGGGAGGAGCAATGTGTAGTCTGCATAGTTTGTAAACCATCCAGAGAATGCTTTAAGCACTATGAGGTGGTATATAAGCAGTACACTTTACTTGGTGCTGAACTTGGATTCTCCCCTTTGTCACTTATTCTTTTATAACATTAAAAATCTGATTTCCTTGATTGCTGTGAATAGCTCTATTATTATGGTTTTGCCACCCTTGAAACTGACAGGTGATACAGGTGTCACTGAAAGGGCTGAATACGAGCCCTTGTATCCTTTGATGCCTGAAACACTTTGTACAGGTTTGAATCTGATCACCACAATGGAGCATGAAGTTCAGTTTTAGCAAAGAACTGGTAAAAATGTAAGCATCCTTGGGGTATAGCTGATATTTAGGAATCTGAGACAGTTTTAATAGTTTGCTGTCCATTCTAACAATATATTTTCCTTTGTTCTGCCCATATATTTGGAATTCTATAGATACAACACATTTACATAAGCTTTTAGAAAACTTTGTTCTCCAAAGGCATCTAAACCTTTCAGCGCTACCTTTGAATGTCTTACTTGTCAGAGAACTGGGGGCACCATAATATTCACTTATTGTGTTCATAAAGAACAGATAAGGAAGTCCTAGCTTCCATCCAAAACTGGCCTGACCCTACTGGGTACTAGTGTTTCTCCCACCCCGTTCAATACAATATGGAAGTGTACTGAGCACATATACCAAAACCAGGACCTTGTCCTGAATGGAAAATGACCAGAATGAGTTCACAGGGTTTCTTGCTGCTCTTCTACCAGCGGAAAAGGCTGGTAGTCTGGTAGTCATGTGTGATGACTCTATTTCTATCACTACAAGTAAACTGGAAGGAATTTCCACTTCTGATTTTGCAAGGAAAAGGGAATGGAGTTTTTGTCAAAGAATGATAGAATAGGAAAAGAAACAGCCTTGCTACATTTCTTCTGAGGCTTTTGCTTTTCTTGCAGACAGTGTAGAAGATGAGTTTGAGCTCTCTACAGTATGTCATCGGCCTGAGGGCTTGGACCAGCTACAGGAGCAAACCAAGTTCACCCGTAAGGAGCTGCAGGTCTTGTACCGAGGCTTCAAGAATGTGAGTTGGTGGGAGGAAATCCTTTTTTAATTGATGTATTGCTATTGAAGCTTGCACAGCTTTGCTGCTTTCCTTTTCTGGTGGTTAAAAAAATAAAATGAATTACAAATACACAGTTTGGGGCACAGAAGAAAGAAAGAAAGAAGAGATTATCCTTTCCATGTGTTTGGGAGATGTCACATATATCAACATCCATCTACTAGACATCCATGTTTGTACACCTTATTCTATAAAGTCACATCCCTGGAAATAGTAACCATCGTGCAAGACTCTTAAGACTCTAGAAAACATTGCCAACAAGGCAATGCCTAATCCAAGGTCAAATTCTGGAAGTGTCTTCCTTTCCTCAGGATTTACATTCCCAGCAACCTCCCCCCACCTCCAAACACTCCATTCTTGGTGGGTTTCTGTCTGAGTGCACCTTGATTGTGATTCTTTATCCAAAAACCCAGGCGTCCAGTTTTTATGAAAAGATTCCACATATGGCTATGTGGAAGACTCATAATATTGCCTGCCTTTAAACTACTCAGCACGCTGTGACCCAAAGACAGCTGTCCAAAGGCGACTCCACAGCAGACAGTTGTATCTTTCTACAGCTTGCATGATAGGAATTTTAACAAAATGGGTCCTTGATTCATTTTGCTGGCTATATTCTCCACCGTTGCACTTAGATGTTCATCTACTGGTGGTTACCAAACAAGGAAAGATGGTGGTGCTTTTTGCACTACCATTGGCATTTATTTTACACACAGAGATACATACTTGAATCTCACACCAGTTAGATGGTGAAACAGAGTCTGTTCCCTGAAACCTTCCAGCACACTAGTCATAACTTAGGATATTGTCTTGATTAGCTCTTCCAAGGTGAATGTGTTTGCACTTTTTCGTTTGATAGGAGTGCCCTAGTGGCATTGTTAATGAAGAGAGCTTCAAGCAAATCTACTCACAGTTCTTCCCACAGGGAGGTAAGTGCCATCCTTAGTTGAAGATAGTAGCTAGTTTCAGGAGAAATGAAGGCAAGATGAAAACAATAGTTTTGGTCTTGCTAGAACTAATAAGGGCTGTAACTTTGAGGGACTTGGCAGCCATTTTCAGCTGCTATAGTTCTCCTCCCCACATGCAAAGCACACCTCCATAACCAAAGGAGATGTCTCTGCTGTGTCATTGCAGTTAAACATGACCACAATCTTTATGCCTGATTTCAGATAGGTTCTAAAGGTCATTTTATTTTGGCAGGCACTTTTAAAACATTATTTGTGAAGGTAAGACTAATTGGGAGGGAGTGGGATTCTGTGGCACTATCCCCAATCGAAATCCTGCTGGTTTGTTGTGGTTAGCATAGGAAGCTTCACTGCCAAACTTGAAACAGTCCCCTCCACTTTTTTTGGCTGTGCAATTCCCAGAGTTCTACAGCTAGTACTGCCCATGCTAACGGAAATGAACTTTCCCAAATTGTCCCTTATCTACCATCTCAGCTATAACTCTTCCCCAGTTCCTTATAGTAGATTTAGCACAGTGGTTCTTAACCTTTCTTACTCGGATGCTTTTGAACTGCAACTCCCAGAAACCCCAGTCAGGACAGCTGGTGGTGAAGGCTTCTGGGAGTTGCAGTCCAAAACTCCTGAGTAACCCAAGGTTAAGAACCAGTGATTTAGCACACCAGTTGGAAGGTGTCACAGTTCTGGCTTGTTCTGAGGAGCATGTGGAGATATGGTGTAGCCCAGAATGCCACCTTTCTGGTGCTACCAGTGGTAGATAGGTCAGTGCTAGCAACTGAGTTTTCCACTTCTGCAGTAGGGAAGCATGTTAGAGTGCATCTACACAGCACAACAATTGCAGGTTGATGCCATTTTAAGGGACATCCATCCTACGGAATCCTGTAATTTGGTAGGATCCTTAGAATTCCCTACTGTAGTTCATGGGTGGGCACTAGAGCTCTCTGGCAGAACATTCAATATACTAACTGAACTATAGATCTCAGGATACTGTAGGGTGCACCCCCTGCGATGTCCTATGGCCCATCATTTACTCACTTTAATTTTTATGATGTTGTTAGAATTCCCTACTGTAGTTCATGGGTGGGCACTAGAGCTCTCTGGCAGAGCATTCAATATACTAACTGAACTATAGATCTCAGGATACTGTAGGGTGCACCCCCTGCGATGTCCTATGGCCCATCATTATTCACCTTAATTTTTTATGATGCTGTTACTATGATTTGTTTTATTGCCAGGATTCCTTTTACCTTGTTGTGTGTCTCTTTCACACACACACCCCTCCAATATGATTTCCATTATAAAGATGGGATATGAACTAAGTCCTTTGTACCAAGAAGGACAATCATTTTACCTAAAGAATTTGTTGACATTTTCTCTTGCTGTTCCCTGCCTGTCACCCAGTTAACCTGCCCACATCTTGTAAAAAGTGTACAAGTTGATGCCTCTTAAACAGTTGGTGTAATGCTGCCTCTCTTCAGATTCCAGTACATATGCAACTTTCCTTTTCAACGCATTTGACACCGATCATGATGGCTCAGTCAGTTTTGAGGTAAGATTCTGTGAGTACTTATTTATAAGCTGCCCCACAAAGAACCTTCTTGGAAACCCTATGGGTTGAAAAATGCAAACATACTGATTTATTTACTTATTTGTTTATTTAAAATATTTATACCCCACATTTCTCCTTAAAAGGAACGCAAAGTGGCTTACATCATTAAAAATACTGTACTATATTTAAAAGCAAAAACAGTACATATACAAATATTTTAAAAGAATTAAACCAATATTATATTAAAATGGTAAATAAAATCAGTACTAAAACAGATTTAAAGGCAATAAGGCTCAAGAATCCATTTTTAAAAAGACTCTTAAACAGTCAGTCACCAAGAGAAAATCTGTCTGGACGTTTTGCTTAATTTAAATGTTTTCTGGGGTCTAGGGCTGTAGAACCAGAATAAGTGAGGATATACATTCTCTGGACATGACAACTATTTCAGATGCCAGATTAATGCACAGAAAGTAGCAGTTTATTATAATTGGCCCCAAAACTCTATGAAATCAGATTGCAGCATTATTATACATCAAGCCTACTGACAAAATCAGCTCTGACTTAATGGAACTATGGTGGACTAGGTAGGGCATGTGGTGGTGCACAGTGTGCAAATAACATGCCCTACATTGTCTTTAAGCAGGCACACTCCCTTCTAATCCTCCCTCTTCAGTCTTTGCACCTAAGCCTTGCCACTTAACTGGTCAGTAGAGCCACCTAGTGGAAATACTTAAATCTACCTGTCTAGCTGTCAAATATTTGACACTAAGGGTGCAATTAGACCATCAGGTTATCCCAGGATGGATCAGGCTTAATCAGGGTGCTCCAAAGTGCAGTATACAATTTAGTGTACACTCCTTTTGTCCACTAATCTTTGTAGATTTCTTTTTTTGGATTTTCTTTTCTTTGCATTTAATATATTTCTTGTTTCCCAAGTAGACACCATCTATTATTTTACTTCAGAGTTCATATACTCAGGGTGGGTGCCAACAGTTTTATCAAAATGACATATTTACACATGTATTGAAACATATTGTCCCATACATTTTAGCCTAGCCTCCATATGGCTACTCTAATGGAAAAATGTTAAACTGAATCCAAAATATGGATCCACTGAAACCCAGGAGGGAGTTTCACAGAGGTAGAATAGTGCTTGAGGATTCTTTTGTCATTTGCTGTTGATGTTTCAACTTTATTGAATGTGATTAAATAGAAACCATGAGGGGACAAATGAGAAAATAAATGGTTAGAGGGATGTTTCAAAAGGCATTCAGTTTTTAAATAATGAACAATTCTGTCACTGGAATGGATTTCTGTTCTGGTGACTATAAATGGGATTCGTCAATTCTAGCAAGAGGGTCCGCTCCACATATTTAAAGTTACAATGCTTAAGTCACAGGCTAGGTGGTACATCTTCATCCCATCTTTCTCCTTTATTCTCTTGCAGGATTTTGTGGCCGGGTTGTCCATTATTCTACGTGGCACTATAGATGATCGGCTCAATTGGGCCTTTAACCTCTATGACCTGAATAAAGACGGCTGTATTACCAAAGAGGTAAGCTTAGATGGAGATCAGTGGTACCAGAAGATGATATACTTTCATAGTGCTTTTCACTTTCATGGATCTTCCCAAGTTCACAATAGTCTGAGTTTCTATGAATTATTCTTGCTGCATTTTGACTTAACAGGAAATGCTGGACATAATGAAATCCATCTATGACATGATGGGCAAGTACACGTACCCAGCCATGCATGAAGAGGCACCTCGGGAGCATGTGGAAAATTTCTTCCAGGTGAGCATAAAGCTGGGGAATTCCTACCCATGGAAGTTAAGTCTTTTGTTGTTTTGATCCAGATACTGAGACACATCATTGTCTAGATGCTTTAACACACTGGTTCTTGCTCCATTTTTTTTTAAATTGTTGAGCTTCAGAGGTTTATTGTCAGACTTCTCCTCTCCTGCTTCCCTAAGTTTTCTAAAATACAGCTTGAATAAATGCTGGCACTTCTGAAATTTTTTTTATTCCTGCTTTTTTGTTGTGTTCAATGTTGTATTAGATGTTTTCAGGACAATTTAAGGAAGTGAAGAAAACAGAACTATTCTCTGCAAGCAGTACCTTTCAGAGTTCCCTAGGAAGCAGAGAGATTGCTTAAACCAGCTTTGTCTTGGGGCTGGAGGTGCACATGGACCTGTGGGTGTTGCAGTAGGCTTTCCGTTTCCAGTGCTTCTCCTAAAACAAAACAAAACCCAATTCTGATTTTTCCTTCATTTCCCTGTGTTTACTTTGAAGAAAATGGACCGAAACAAGGATGGTGTGGTGACTATTGAAGAATTCATAGAGTCCTGCCAAAAGGTAATACTGTATAATACTTCTTTCTGATGTCCCATTTGGTTATTATGGCCCTTTATAGCAGTAGATATCATAAAGGTATGGCCACACTTATTACTTTGACCTAGAATGGGATAAGTAACTTCCTCCATGTGGGACACTGCCTCCTCCTACCAAAGGCTGCATCTTGCAGTCACCATTGCTGCTGCTTTTTTGTTTGCTGCTATATTAGTGATGTTCCATGATAGGAAGATCTTGGGGAAGCCACAAAAAGAACAGGGGCTTACTCTACCCTATGAGAATTGCTGGACTGGAATGAGAAATGGAGCATGAGTTTCCCAGTAAATCACTAAATTGTGCTTTTGGGAGGAAGAGGGTACTCCATTTCTGGCACTGGCACTAGATAAATTTTAAATGAATTACCTTTTTGTGTTCCAAATCCTCCATGCAACATGGAGGGTTGCATGGAAGATTTTGTTTTAAAAAAAAGTTTGTGGGGGAGCTCCATGCTCTAGATCCAGATTGTTGTCACTGTAGTGCTAAGCGACACATGAGGATTGGACTGAAACATATGTACAGTCATGTGAAAAAATAAAGTACACCTTCTTTGAATTTACATACCAGGATATAATAAAAATCGTGTGGTCCTTAGCAGGGCTGAAAATTAGGTAAATTCAATCTCAGATGAAGAGCAACATATGACATATTACACTATGTCATGATTTAACAAAAATAAAGCCATGAATGAAAAACTAAGTACACCTTATGATTCAATAGCTTACAGAATCATCTTTAGCAGCAATAACTTGAAGTAATTATTTTCTGGATGATTTTATCAGTCCCTCACATCATTGTGGAGGAATTTTGGCCCATTCTTCTTTATAATTATGCTTCTGTTCATTGAGGTTTGCAATTGTTTATGCACAACTCTCAAGTTCCTGCCACAGCATTTCAGTTTGGTTTAGGTCTGGGCTTTGACTGGCTATTGCAAGACCTTGATTCTTTTGTTTTTCAGCCATTCTGTTTTATATTTGCCAGTGTGCTTGGGATCATTGTCCTGTAGCTGTCAAACAGATGGCCTTGTTGTTGACTCTAGAATACTTTGGTATACAGAGTTGTTCATGGTCAACTCAATGACTGCAAGGTGCCTAGGTCCTGTGGCTGCAAAACAAGCCCACCACTGTGTTTGACAGCTGGCATGAGGTGTTTGTGCTGATATGCTGTGTCTGGTTTTCACCAAACATGGAGCTGTGCATTATGACCAAACATCTCCTCTTTGGTCTTGTCTGGTCAAAGGATATTGTTTCAGAATTCTTGTGGTTTGTCCAGATGCAACTTTGCAAATCTAAGCCGCGCTGCCTTCTTCTTTTTAGAGATAAGCTTTCTCCTTGCAACCCTTCCAAACAAACCATACTTGTTCCGTCTTTTGTCTAATTGTACTGTCATGAACTTTAGTATTTAATATGCTAAAGGAGGCCTGTAGAGTCTGAGATGTAACTCTTGTGTTTTTTGCAATTTCTCTTGAGCCTTGCACAGTCTGACCTTGGGGTGAATTTGCATGGACGTCCATTCCTAGGAAAATTGGAAACTATTTTGCATGTTTTTCACTCACTGTAGAATGACAGACTTTCAATTGTTTGGAAATGGCCTTATAACCCTTCCCAGATTGATGGGCAGCAACGATTCCTTCTCTATGATTGTTGCTGATGTATTTCCTCCTTGGCATTGTGTTAATATACACCTGAATGCTCCTGACCAGCAAAATGCTAAAATTCCAGCTTTTATAGACACAGTCACACTCGCTGATGATCAATTAATTACTTAAGGGCATTTGTTTAGCAGCACCTGGCTGCTCCTTTGCCTCTTCATTCATATGGAAGCAATAAGGGTGTACATTTTTCACACATGGCTTCTCCATTTTGGCTTTATTTTTTATTAAATAAATCACGACATAGTGTAATGTCATGTGCTGTTGCTGATCTGAGGTTTTATTTACCTATTTTCAGCTGTCTGTGAACTTGTCTGCTTCCATATCCAACCAGTCTTTGGGATTTAGGATAAGTCAGGAAAGAAAAAGATTTGCAGGAAATTTTATTTTGTTTTGCTGATTTTGTGTTACTTGAGGTAGGGTGTTTCTTTTTTTAACCTAATTTTCCAGATCTGGATATTATGATTCTTATTAAATAGGAGAGTTTACATTCCAAGTTTGGAAAATATGTTCACCTTTCCTTTTTAATCCACAAGACGTACCATAATCATATTGCTTTAGGAAGACTTTCGTATTAGGTGCAACTCACTGGCTGTGTTCATGTAAATTCAGACCTATTTCGTTTGCCACTCTGACCCCAGGTTGGGATTTTTAGTTTGTTTTTTAAATTGCTGTTAGCTGCCCAGAGTAGTGCCTGATCACGGCCTAGGGGGAGAGAGAGCTTTTAGGCCGGAGCTGCTCCTGGGACCCCACCGGACCATCATGCCTACACTCAGAAGGAGCCAAAGCCCATCTGCTGGCCACAGCTCACTGTGTGAGAGGCAGTGAGACTGTGGTTGGGCCCCTGCTGGATCTCCCTCTGTGGTTGCAGGCCTGAGCCCTGCTGCTCCTGGCTGCCTCTCCCCCTCTCAACATCAGCCACCTGGCCTAGTGGGGAGAGAAGGGTCTTTAGAAGTTTTTTTAAAATTTATTTATTTGTTTGTTTATTTATTTAAGCTTATTTTTAAATTGTGATCATTAATTGCCATCAATTAAGAGAGACCCACAATGGATTTGAGGGAACAGGAATGGGGGAGGGTGTTGGAGGGGGCAGCCATTGAGGTGGTGCTGGGTAGGGGAAGGAATGGC